TATATATATATATGAATAAGGACAAAAAGAAATTTTTTTTTTTTTTTTTTTTTTTTTTTTTACCAACACTGTTTTTCCCTAAGAGACTTTATCAAGATAAATGTAAGGATTTTATTTTGCAACAACCATTTATAAACAGAAGTAAAAAAAAAAAAAAATTTTTTTCAAAATTTTAAATTTAAGAATTCTCTAAAATATTTGTAAATTTTGTAAACTTTATAATATTTTTAGTTCTGTATATAGAACCTTATTGCAAAATAAAATCCTTCCATTTTCCTTCATAAAGTCCTTTGGGGATGAAATGTGTTGGGGAGGAAAGGTTTTTCTTTTTGTCTTTATTCATATTGTCTTAAATATATATTTTATTTATATCTGAATTTTTACATACTAGAATTTTTTTTTTTTTTTTTTTGCAACATGCGTCAGCATATTTAAATCCACACAGTATTGTTGAAGATGTCACTCTCATTTTTTGATGTGATTTACAAACTCTACATTTCCTTCAATTTTGCAAACAAAATGAAATTTGAATAAGCTAATTTATTTCGAAAAATATTTTGACAAAAAACCCTTACTTGATGGTTTTTACAAACCCTTGTAAAAGCAACTGTACTTTGTACCCCCTTACCTATTTACACTTCTCCCCAAATTTGGTTTTGATTGGTCAATGTATGGCTATTTTAGAGTGTGTGATGGACAGAATTATATATATATATATATATATATATATATATATATATATATAGAGAGAGAGAGAGACACACACATACACACATATATTTTTAAAATTGTTAGCAAATATATGGGATATATAAAGCAACTAAAATTCAGTAAATTGTCAGATCTTAGCCACCTACCCCAGTGGTCGCTCCTCAAACCGATCCTCTTTTTGATTTACATAAATGATCTGCCTAAGAATATACTCAGACGTATTATTTGTAAACATCTATGCTGATGATATGACTATATACAGGCACATATCTAAAATTCTTGATAAAGATTAGCAACTGATCTTTCTCCCAATCTTGCACCAACAGGGTAAAAACTGGCTTGTTACATTCAATGCCTCAAAGACCAAGCTAGTTACATTCCATCATTGCTGATCAGACCCTAAATTACCACCAATCAGGATGAATGTATGTCTTCTCGAGGAGGCACTGTTTTGAAAGACTATTGGGCCTCAAACTCACACTTGACCTCAAGTGAAACTTGTACATATGATCCATTGCTAAGGATTCAGGTAAAATGGTTGGCTCTCTGTACTTCTCCATTAAGTACCTGACCCCTCTTTCTATCCTCTGCCTTTACAAGAGCCAGGTTAGGCCAAAAATGGAGTATGTTTATCATATTTGGCCAGGAGCTGCCCAGACCCCGCTATCTAGCCTTGACAATCCAAAAGCATCTCCCAGTCATTGTGTGTAATGAATTCTCTACCCTTCAACCTCTCTCTCACAGGTGGCATTTGGTAAGTCTCTCACTGCTTTACTGCTAATTCTATGTAAAGTGCTCAGATGAACTATATTCCCTGGCCCTGCAAAGTTCAACCTTCACAGCAAGAACCCACCATGCTACATAGTAGCAGCAACCCCCACCACATTCCCTCCATATTCCATCGGTGAGAATTAAGATCCACTTGAACAGCTTCTTCCTGTGAACCACTTCCCTGATCATACAATCTTAACCTGTTCAAAGCTAGGGTAAGCTATTATCTCCCACTCCTATACACACAAATGGCCTCCTAATGTAACCCTCTACCTTGAGTGCCCCAATCTCCAGTGTTGTAAAAGGTCAAACTTACTGAAAAAAAACAAAAAAAAAACTTATAGCACACTAAACTCTGTTATACATGTATGATCTTACAAGTACTATTAGTAACCATGCAGGTAATTATTTAACAGGTCCTTTGTGGTTTATTCAGCATAAATCCCAAATGTAATTCTCTGCACCCCCCCCCCAATCATTTCAAGTACCAAAGAATAAGTTCTGTTCACATCTATCAGATAAGGCCATTGACAAATAAAGTGACTGGTCAGAAAGACACAATGTAAAACAATGCAAATTTAGTGGAGAAAAGAAAAGTTAAATGGAAAAGATAAAAGAAAGTTGTGAAACAGAAAGCTAGCAGAAAAGGAATGAAATTAAGACGGATGGCCAAGATAAGGAAGTCTTACTGATATTTAGTTGATGAAATTAGAAGGTTAAAAATACGAAAGAATTTTCACCACATACTTACACAAACCCTGTCTGGTCAAATTTCATCTGACAGGTGATTTGTCTTTTGTTTCAATTTTGAATAGTAAAATGCTAAGCCACTCAGATTCTAAGATTCAGTGTCCAATGTCTCTGGGTGTCAGGCAGGACCCATGCTATATAGAATGGACATTTATTTGTCTCCCAGACCATTGGATTACAAATAAAAAGAAAAAAAACTTTCCATTATGTCACCTGTGAAGGAAAAAGGAAGTCATTTATACCTGCTTACCCAACCAAGTAAAGCCCCCTCCCCCACATCTCCAGGAATGGAGAAAGAAAAGAAAAGCAGTTTTAGTAAGCATGTAGAGAAAAAATGAAGACTGTTTTAACTGATGAAAGGCAGATAAGAGATGAAAGAAAAGCAAGTAGGAAAGAAAAGATATTAGAAAGCAAAGGAAAAAGTTTATCAGAATGAGATTCCTTGTATCACTAGAACAAATAGAAAGAAAAAAAAATGGATTCCTATTGTTTCTAGCCAAACAAGCAGAAGGAAAAGGTAATAAAAGTAAAAGAGCAGACAGATGCAGAATCAAAAGGAAGGAAGCAAGGAAAATTGTAAGAGACATACAGATAACTAATTGGATCCACTTGACCAATTTGTCCTCCAGAATGAGGAGTGGGTCTTCCATATATTTCTACTTGTCATTATAAGGCACTTAACATTGAATTAATCTTGCACTCATGCAGGCACAAAAAAAAAAAAAGTTCTTAGCAGGCACCTCAGAATAGAAACAATTTACTTAGCCCAGACTCAAACAAGGTAACTCTTTCCCACAAAAATACCATCAATCCAGCCCAACAGCAATGGCCAAGACAAAAAGGTACCTGCACTTTTTTTGCTCATTTGTACTTATAGGCTCCCACCTAACTTGCCCCATCTTCATCTCGCTTCTTACCTTATGTTTCCAAGTGTATGTCACATTCACCAATCACATCAATCTCTTGGGCCAAATCATAAATATATTTCAGAAACACTGAAACCAGAAATGCTTAGTGGTTAATTCATGTGATTCATAACACTGCCATTGGAAGTTCTTTCTACAATCATCACCATAAATGATAATACACCTAAAGATAAGTATTTCGTGGTGGGAGGATAAGTGACAAGTCAGCCCCCACTCACTGTACCACTATGACTGGACATAGAATAGTAAATAATTTTATCTCAGTTGTAAGGGTTTTGCACTTTTATAATCAATAGTAGTCTGTGAATTGGGATCTTCAAAAAACAGCCACCCACTTGACTAAAAGAGAATAAAATAAATGAAAACCTTTGGGAACAGGTGACAATAAACCAGACATTGAAGATTTCCATTTTAAATAAAGCCATCACAGTTGGAATTGTAAGTCGTTCCGGACTGTCCATTGACAATACCTTATGATGGTTTATACACCTTCATAAGGTATTGTATCTTGGACTATACATTAAATTCAAATAACTGGCAATACAATTTGAGCCATTTCACAGTTAACCTATTTTTATGTCTTTTTAAAGGTTGACACACAAAATTTGCTTTTTGTAGAGCATGACTTTAAATATTAATGGCAAGACTTAGTGAAATTTACTTGGGCATCTTTTGTAATTTGGGAAATGATAATAATTTATAATTGTATATTTTAATAAGAAATTCACTGTTTGCAATGTTTTTCTGTTTATGAATTTAAAAAACTTAATTGTTTTTATTGTATAGACTGTTGTCATAAACCTTTGACTTACCCAACTCTGGTCCAATATATCACCATTTAACTACCTTTTGCAACAAGCTGATATTGATTTCACTTAAATATTGCAATCATCTGCATTGTAAGGAGAATTATAATAATTTCCTATGAAAGGGTTTTGAACTTTGTAACTTGTTTTTAGTTTATAACTTTAATCCTCTACCTATCTCCTTTGTCACTTTAGCTTCTTACCAAAGTACAGAAGTCAAGTGTCCTAACCAAACATTTTAAATGGGATTGGTTGTCATAGCTACTGTTTTGACCAATCAGAAATCATCTGGGTGTCTGGAATATTTGGTAGATGGTGTCAACTTTAAAAAGCTTATTGAGTTTAATAGGATTTTTACTGTCAGTTCTTATTTAGTATTGGCCACAGAAGTTGCAAGCAGCATTTTCTCCTGACAGACAGCTTTATGAATAAATCGTATGCAAGTAAACCTGCCATCTCTAGTATGCTTGCTGTTATCTTTCTGCAAAGATTTTCTATTTTTGTTTGCTTAGACGCCATTTTTTAGAAGATGCACTTATCTGGTCTGCAGTTTCAAGTAGGGTTTCAAACAATCATTATTGCAATGAAGTACCTATGTGCACACTTGGTAATTATTATATGTAAAATTGTGCGTGTCCTCAGATGTTAAAGGTCTTTTTGTCTACAATGTATTTTATCTCTTTTTAAGATGTAATGTAGAATACAACTATTTGATTGGCTCACAGACTTATTCAAAGTGATTGGAAGTACATAAACTATTTGAAGAAGCTGAAGGCCTCTGCTTTCTACATGTCTGATCTAGTCATAATTCTTCCTGTCCCAGGGATGTGTTGCAACAATAAAACTTTGGTACCTAACTGAAATCTATAACAATCAATTTAAAATCTCTTTTAGTGCAAGAGAAAGAAGCTATAGCCTAAAGACTTATTTATTTGTTCCTTTTTGTTTCCAGACTCTATTTTCTTTCTCTTGATTTCTCCTCTTTTTCTAATTCTGGAATATTTATCCATTTCAAATGTTATTTTTTCACTATTAGGCAAAATTAATGTGACCTCTCATTCTTTCCTCCTCCTCCCTCTCCCTCTCTCTTTCCTCCTCCCTCTCTCTCTCTTTCCTCCTCCCTCTCTCTCTCTCTTTCCTCCTCCCTCCCTCTCTTTCCTCCTCCCTCTCTCTCTCTTTCCTCCTCCCTCTCTCTCTCTTTCCTCCTCTCTCTCTCTCTCCTCCTCCTCCCTCTCTCTCTCTTTTCCTCCTCCTCCCTCTCTCTCTCTTTCCTCCTCCTCTCTCTCTCTCTTTCCTCCTCCTCTCTCTCTCTCTCTCTCCCCTCCTCCCTCTCTCTCTCTCTTTCCTCCTCCTCTCCTCTCTCTCTCTCTCCTCTCCCTCTCTCTCTCTTTCCTCCTCCTCTCTCTCTCTTCCCTCCTCTCTCTCTCCTTCCTCTCTCTTTCCTCCTCTCTCTCTCTTTCCCTCCTCTCTCTCTCTTTCCTCTCTCTCTCTTTGCTCCTCTCTCTCTCTTTGCTCCTCCTCCCTCTCCCTCTCTCTTTGCTCCTCCTCCCTCCCTCCCTCTCTCTTTCTCTCCTTCTCCGCCTATCTTTCACTATTTCTCTATCCTTTCTGCTTTATCTATTTATCTCTGTCTCCCCCACCAAGTCCAGGCCTTTTCCCCGCCTTCATCAGTAGGTCATCTCCATGTTCAGCTGCTCTCAAGCCAAGCTCTTTAAAGCCAATATTTCTTGTAGCTTTGGGTCATACATGCCTATTCACTAGATTCTCTTGTGCATTTCTTTATCTCTTTATAGTTAATTCAATGCACAAAGTTAGACATAGAACAACCAAAAGCATGTGGCTGGACCTTCATACTGACAATGAAGGAAGAGACTTGTGGTGGCTGCAATGGCAAAGGTCAAAAGATTATTTCTTTCTCTGTGAGACTTTTTAATTTAATTTACCATTTATTTTTCTGCATTTTCCTTTAGGTCATAGTTCAGTTATTTGATTTAATTATAAATTAAGTATTGTGTGTTTGCATAACTATTTAGGTCAAATCTGAAGGAATTTGAAGGTATTATGATGGCTTTCAGATTTATAACCAAAATGTCCTTTTAAGAACTATTACCTTTGGCTTAGATCATAGAAACCAAAATCATATCTGATTCACCTTGATTTTCTTAAGTCATATTATATAAGGACAGCCACTTCATGATCACCTAGAGATCAACACTTGAAACTTTAAACAAATTCAAAATTGCAATGATCCTGCAAATTAATTTACTAGTGATCATTGAATTTGATTTTTTTATTCGAAATTGATACTTGAGCAAAGACAGACAAAGGTTTGAAAGGAATCTTTTGGGAATTTTTTTTTAAATCTTATTTTAAGGTAAGACGATATTTTTGTTGTTTGTTTGTTTTTTATTATTATTATTTTTTGTTAATGTCTTTTTTTTTTTTTTTTTGTAGGTAAGTTGTCTTTCTTCCTTTTGATTGTTTCCAGAAGATCCATGCTATGGCAAAAGTCAACACCAAGGAAGAATTAGATAAGGTATTTGTATATTACTGAGTTATTTGGCAATGGCTTTTTATATTTAGCTTCAATGTGCAGTGACTCAACAAATAATTTTTTTTCTATAGAAATGCATGAAATGGTTCTTGGCCGGGTATTACAGATTTAAAAACTCACAATGGAAACGGGGCAAGCAATAACTAAGCTGTAGAAAAAAAACAAAACAAGATATCCCTAGACACGAACCTGAAGAGCGAAATAGCCAAAATGTGATAAGAGATAAGGACATTAGCACAACTTTCCTGTTTGTTTTTTTTCTTTTGTTTCATTATTTCCTTTGATCTGTTTCATCTATTTCTGTTTAATCTATTTTCAAACCATCCTTTTGTTTCCTCCATCAACCTTTCCTCTTCTTTTCTCTCTGAAATAACCAGTGAGATCTAAAAAAGCAGTTTTGGGTAAAATAAAATTAATATTTTACTTGGCGATTTGAGGATTGCAAAGAATTTATCCAACTAGGACACCTTCCCCAATCTTCTAAACTCCCTCTCTCTCATATATATATATATATATATATATAATCCTGTCTTTTTAAAATGTCCATCCAACTAATTCATGTGGTGTCTGACATTGGAATTGCTTTTGTTTTTTTTTTTCTCTCTTGCATTAAAAATACTGAAGGTATAATCAATTTAACTTTTGTCAGTTGGGCAACATTTAAGCTAGCTCCTGTGGATGGTTCTTGATTGGGCCTTCATCACAATTGATAGGGAGGAATAGATGCGATACGCAGCAATAAACTGCAAAACAACTCAAAATTGATTTCTGAATTTAAGTATTGCATTAATATTTAAGCTTACTTTTTAAAAGTTCAACAATAATTCTTCTACCATCACTTAATTTAAAGACAATTTGATGTACGTAGGACCTCACTTTCAGTACAAACAATTATTTTTATTTCATAGGTGACTTTCATTAGATTTTGCAGTTAATTTCAGTTATTCCCAAATTTATTTCCAAGTACAAAAACATTTTGTCTCAAAAAAATCATATGAGAAAGATTTTCGAAAGTGGATTCGGATCAGGCCAGGATGTTTCCAATTTGCTAATGGAGTCAGCCCAATTCCGAAAGAGTATTATATGTTGGAGTAAAAATTGAAAAAGCGTGACACACTGACATTCACATTTATTATAGTGTATATTGATATTTGAAATAGATGCCATATTTTTTTTTTTTGTTTTAAACACTGTGTATTACTGCTGTCTATTGGCCTTAGCATTCCATTCTAAAAATCTTCATAAAAAATATATATATATATATATATATATATATATATATATATATATATATATATATATAGACTCTCAGTCTGAGATATCAAACCTGTGTCCTTATCCCTTGCAGAAGCAACCTCAGGGGCCTTGGGAAGGTTTGATCTCTGCTGGAAAGCACATTATCTTAAGGTTTCTATAGGCCAGCTTGCACACTGGCCTATAGAATTAATACATATTATTTAAAATAAAAATGAGGGATCTCCATGTATCCATTTATAATAATATTGGAAGTAATAAAAATGTTGGATTAAAAATAAGTTTTATATATATATATATATATATATATATATATATATATATATATATATAAACATCATGACTTGCTATGTACTCATTTAAAAAAAAAAAAACGAAACAAAAAAACGACCAAATGATGTGTAGGCATTCAAAACAACATTGGATCTTATGGTATGAGTTAGTGAGTGCCCCCGACCCACACTCTGTGTGTAAATTGAATTTGTTAAATGAAGCTTTTGTTTATGAAGTGATGGAACCAGGTGGACAAATTAATGTCTAAAAATAGTTGATTATGTCTAGAAACAATTTTTAATAGAGCCACTTGTAATTGACTTTTTGTGAGTCTTCTGGAAAATATCATAATTCATATTCAATAATAATCATATTAACTTTATCTTTCTCCACATCATTGGCTGTAAGGCCATGCTCACTGAAACAGTCTTTTTTGTTCTTCCTGTACAACTAAGGCTGAAGTCATTTTTTAAAATGTTTGACTATAGTGTCACATTTTATTATGCAAGTCAATGTTGGTAAAAAAAAAAAAAAAAAAAATTAAGGATATTCTTGTCTTAATGTGAGTTTCAGCTTATAAAATGCATCCTTATTAAAAAATATTAGTGACTTGGCTAGTAAATTTTAGGGGTTATTATGCAAATGGACTAAAGGAAAACATTTTTTTTAATGTATAAATAAATCCCAGAGATATAGACCTGAGAAACATATTTGATTGACACAATATCCAGTATACCTGAATGAATTATTTTATTTTTTATGTTAATATTGGCTCCTTGACAGTTTATAACATTCAAGCTTTCAACCATTGATTTGATAAAGTTTTCTAGTATTATTATTTCAGACAATGTCTTTTTTTTTTTTTTTTTTTTTTTTTGGAATAGACCTTTAAGTTTTAATATATTATTATAACAGTTGCACAAAAATATATTATTCATTGCTAATGATTAAAGTGTTCACTTTATTATTTTTATATCAATATCTCTTTTGGAATTTAGATTAAAAATTATATTACAATTACATTGAACATGAGAAAAAAGAATAGATGTATTTACATTTTTTTCAATGAGTTCAAGCTTGCTCATCATGCTTCTCAAACTTAACAGAGCATGAGGTGAAGTATTTGCTTGTATGGTAGGGTAATATGGTGCTGGTCTCTTGTTTTGCAGAGAGGATACAAGGTCTTGAACATCAAGGTGGTAGAGGAGGTCCATCTGCAATTGACAATCAACATCGGAAAATACTAGTCAAACTAAATGTCCATGTCAAAGTGTCCAAGAAATGTCTCAAGATAATGGGTGTCAGAATTATACTACGAATATATATATATGGGAATCAGTATTTCAAAAATATCTGCCCATCTCAAGATAAGTGGCATGGTGAAGAAACTTGATAAATGGGTTCCGCATGAACTCTGTGAAATTCAAAGAGTTTGATGTTTCCATGCATGTTCAATGCTTCATCTGCGAAATTTAAATTAGCTATTTCTTGATCGAATAGCAACTTAGGATGGGGAAATGGATCCTTTATGACAATCCTAAATGGTTGGCTCACTGGCTTGATTGGGACAAAGCACCTAAACACTTTCCAAAACTGAAATTGCACCAGTGAAAATTATGGTGACTGTTTGGTGGTCCATCATTGGCATTAGCCATTACAGCTTTCTGGAATCTGACTAGAGCTTCATTGCCAAAGTTTGCTGCCAGCAACCAGATGAAATGTACATTCAGAAAAGCAAAATGTGCCCAGCACTGGTTAATTGACAAAGTTCAATTCTTCTTGATGACAAAGCTTGGCCACTTGTTGCCAGGATGATACTACAGAAGCTCACCGATTTTGGATATGTGACTATCCACTATATTACCCTGGCTTCTTACCCAGTGGCTACCAATTTTTCAGGCATCTTGACAATTCTTTAAGCCAAAAGACATTCCATTGCTGTGGGATAAATATACCAGGAGATACATGTTTTTCCAACTTAAACACAACCAGCATATCCCCGCAACATGTTTGACGTTTTTAAGCGTGTTCGATTCTGCATCTGCAAAATTCAAACGATCCATTTTTTTTACTAACTATTGATTAGAAATGGATCCATTATGACAATTGTAAACACTGGATCATGACAAAGAACCCTAACACTTTCCAAAACCTAAATTTCAGCATTATCATTATTGCTTCGTATCCATTACAGCTTTCTGGAATCTAACCAGGGCATCACAGCTGAAGTTTACTGACAACAAATGGATTAAATACACATTGAGTTAAGCAAAATGCGATCAGCACTTGTTAATTGACATGATCCAATTCTGCTTCATTCAATGCTCAGCCACATATTGCCAGGAAACTACAGAAATTCACTGACTTTGGATATGTGACTTTGCTACATCCACAATATTCCTCTGATGTCTTACCTACTGACTACCAATTTTTCAAGCATCTTGACAACTTCAAAGACGATTTAGAAACTGCATTTAAAGATTTGACATGAAAACCTTTAAAAATTTATTGCAAAGGCATAAATAACTTTGTAACTCAATGTCAGAAATGTATAGATGTTCAGGATTCCTATTTTGACTGATTTAAACTCTGT